TCTCATATTCTGTTTCTTGAAAGAGTAGAGAATTATATATGCATTATTTTATTTGCATAGTTCTTGGGCTCAGAGTCATTCTAAATCAGTTGATTAATACTTCTAACATGATAATGCCAAGATGCTATTATTTCTCCAAATTTCCTCTAAACCTAACAGTGATTAAGAGCCTTTTTAAGTTTTCACTAAAAGTATATTTTACTGTTTCTGCCAATGTCAAGAAATACCTTATTATTAAAAGGTTACAAAGTGAATGTAAAATATGGGGTTGGGGAATGAAGACTGCACCATTTTCCACCTGCTAAATCAAACTGAGGGCACTGCAGGAAAGAACATTCCCTGAGCACTGGCTCTGGGCCAGGACTGGGCCAAGACAATGAATAAATGGGTAAGAATGAGCCTCCCCTCAAGAGTTTACAACCCAATGAATTTCACAAAGTAGACACCAAAGCTCACATGGCAAATTAATAAAATAAGACCTTTTTATATTACATTCTCACCCTAACGCCATTGGCTACCATTCTCTGTTCAGCACTTTTGTTCTGCCCTTGAATCTACGTGATTTTCTGGAAGCACATCATATTAAGAGCACAAATATCAACCTCTTATCTCTGATGTCAAATAAGAATTTAATTTTAACTCTATTCCTCTCCTACATAGGAGTCAATTAAATATTATTCCCTGGGAACAAACCTAAAGAGTCCTTCTTCCTGGACCACACCCACTGTGAGAAAAGGTGTGCTGGACTATAAAATGATAATGTTTCAGACCTGGGTCCAAGGTACAACTCCAAGAACTTCTTTAGGACTCCACCTAAATCAACTAAGGTCACAGGATGGTGAAAGCATGATACCCGGGTGGACACGGATGGCAATGCAAATTAGGAACCCAAAGAATGGACACATAAAAGTTGGAAACTCTTGGCATCATAGTAGTAAATAATATATATACTAATGATAACCTGCTCTACTGTGCTGGTTCTCAAAAAACTAATGAAGGGAAATAACTCATCACTTTACATGCTACTATAAAGACATTTTATTACTTCACAAAAGCCCTTAAGCTTATATTACAATACCACAATACATTTTTCAGAAGCTTAGATGTACAATTAACTAAGAGAAATGTATACTTAATTCAAGTCAAAGGGCACACTTATTTTTAAAGTCTGCAGAATCAGCAAGTCAAAGGGCAGACTTATTTTTTAAAGTCTGCAGAATCAGACTTTAAAATCGACTTTAAAATTACAGAATTGAATGCATGGCTGATACTTTTTCCTAAGATAATGTTAATATAATTAACCCTTACTTATAAGGCAAGACAACCACAGTGAGATTAGCCCAATCATATTTTTAACCTTCGCTAAGCCTTCACTTTGAACCAGAACTGCTTTCTTCAAATATCCAGTGCTAGCCAGTAGAGATCATCAGATTTGAGTGCCAGCCCAAGCCCCAACAGCCCCCTCCCAAATCTAAATAAAAGTAAATAGGCTTCAAGAAAAATAAATGATGCTTTTTCTCCAGTTTGGATTACCCACACCAGGCTTTCCTTAGCATGAAGGGAAAAATTAAAGACCCACATTTGAGTTGTAGTGCCAAAACTTAATTTCCCATCTTACTTAAGTGAGCCCCTGAACCCTGCAGAGTCCTGGGGTTCCCTCAGTTTGGGGGCTGTTGATCCCAAGTGTGGTCGGTCTATGTTATCAGACACCATGTGTTTGAACACATTGTAGACAGTGAAGTGAGGTAATTACACAGCTGTGGAAGAATAATTCACGCACACCTCATGTGAGTTCTGTGTATGGACACTTCATACTCTGTGACACAGCTCTACACAGTCCCCGGGATTTTTATACAAATAGGAACTCACAACATTTTACAGACCACCAAGTCTTATTGCTGTGCTAATGAGGTCTTCATGTTTACTTTGCTTCCATAGCAGGAAGGTACAACCGTCACAGCTTTTACTTCCCATGTATTTGTTTAGTTACAGTGGCGGAATGACCTCCGATTTGACTATGCTAGACAGTCCATGGACTACCCCTAAGGAATTTAAGCTCTTAAAGAGTACCTTTTTCACTCTTGGGAAAAGAAGAAACAACTTATCAATGTGCAATAAGATGACTTTATCTCACGCAGTCTTCTCTCCTAAGCTCCAGACTCACATAACCAACTGTCTAAGAGATATCTCCACTTAGCTGCCTCAAGGACCCAATAAACTCAACATGGCCAAATCAAACTCATCTTCACCCTCTCTCTCCACATCTTCCCGAAAATGCTTCCTTTCTCAATAAATGGCACTATCATCTTTCCAATTGCTCAAGTCAGTATGTTGGAGTCAACCTTGATCCCATTCTCCTTCTAATCCTCTACCCACACCTAAGTCTCAAGATTTATTTATTCTACTTCCTACATAGCTCTTGAAATTGTCCACTTCATACCATTTTAGCTGTCACCACCCTAGCCTAAACCACCCTCTTACCTGGATAACATAATAGACTCCTAACTTATCTGCTTGGATCCACTCTGGCCCTTCCCCAATTGGTTCTTCAAAGGCAGCCATAACCATCACATCACAGCACCATGCTCTACTCTTTCCAGATTCCTATTTAACAGAAGCTACAAAGGACTGCCATGATCTGGTCCCTATTTATCTAGCCTGTTCTCCTCTTCCTGCATATTATGATCTAGCCACATGAGACAAAGACTGCTAATTGTAACTCAGTATCTATTCTCCTTTTCCTCAGTAATTAAATCCTGATTCTTAGTCCAGTACATGACTATGAAATAAGGATTTTTCTCCCAGCCTCCCTTGCAGCTAAGTGTGGCTATGTGACTGGGTTTTGGCCAATGGAGTGTGAGCCACGCCCTTCAGAAAGAAGGCATGGCTTTCTCCCTCCCTTTCTGCTTCCAGCTAGTTGGAATGTGGACAGTGCTGGCTGAAAGAATCATCTGGTTCACTAAGTCGAAGGTGCCTGTGGAGGATGACAACACAAGACAGATGAAGCCAGGTCCCTAACAGCTCTAAGACTGTCATATCAACCCTAGACTGCCTACCTGGACATTTATGTAAGAAGCTTCTTTATCGTTTAAACCTCTGATGCACTGGATTTTCTGTCCCTTGAAGTAGTTTTGCCTAACCCCACTATATCATACCATTCTTTCAGAATATCCATTCTCTGGACTTTGGACTTGTGCAAGTGATTCTCTCTGCCTGAAACACTGCTAACACCTGCTCCTCACCTGCTTTCATCCTTCAAATCTGAGCTGAAATGTTACTTTCTCACATAATTCTTCCTTGACTCCCTAGATAAGGTTAAATACTCTTGCTGTTTTTTACCTTACACTTTCCCTTGGGTAACACTCACCACACCCATAATTGCTGGGTTACTATGAATCTCTTTCAGTACTACATACTCTTTAAGAGCAAGTTTCAGTTTCATCTACTGTCCTCCAAGTACTTGGCTCTCAGTATATGCTCAACAAATATTTGCTCAATGAATGAATGAATGAATGCCACAGCCCTTGAGTGATTTCTGGGTCATGCCTCAAGATTTCTTGCCCTTACATTACAGGACTCCTGTAAACTCGACCTGTAGCCCCATTCCTGTCAGAGACTCTCACAATGAGAACACTATTGCTCTCCATTGTCTTTTGGACAATTCTGAAATGTGTCAACTCCTTCAAGAGATCAGCACCACTTTTTGGCACCATTTCATTTTCTCATAATGCACTTAGGACTAGAGTGGAGTATTAGGTGTAGTCTTGGAATTTAAAAAAAAAATGGAGGCCCTTCATTGACTAATATGACCACATTTTCCAGAGTTGGGATGCCTTACAGGTTATTTTTTAAAGGAAAAGATAAGAAACATACAAACCAATTATCTGAATTCTGGTCATGTACAAGAGAATATTCTTAGAATATCTGAAAAGCCTTTGGTTTTCAGTGTATATCACTTTTTAATAGCATTACAGGTATGTGTCAACTCATTGCTTTATGTACTCATCCTTCATTGACACTGAAGATTCTGCACAGCTTCACCGTTTTCAAAAATTAAGCATCTTTTTGTTATAACATGGAAGAGTTAAAGAAATAGGGTTCCAAGAAGGAGGTAGTGGGACATAAAACAAACAAAATCAAGAGATCCAAATGACAGTTTCAGTTTTTCCAATGACTCACTGGGTAACCCTGAATCAGTTCTCTTCTTAACTCTAAAATGAAGTGTACAGTATAGGTAATTCCTAAGAGACCTTCCAAGGAAAATATTTTGTTGCTCTATCAATTTGCTGTTAATGATTTAACAAAGATGTTAGTGATTATGCCAAAAACTGTATAATTAAAATATTCACAGGAAGCCTGGCATCTGTATACCAGTTTTAGATACTATGGAGGTTTAAATGAGTCTAAATTATGGATCTTAGAGTCAAGGATCTAAAAACAAACATGTATTTTGGAAAAGCTAGCTTTGCGTGATAACACTGGCTTTTAGTTTGTGAGTTTTTCCAGTATATGTTATTCTCCTCCCACATTTATTAGGCGCTCACGCTTGATTTAGAAGGTGCTCTGCAAAAACCCACTGGTCAATAAAAGAGAACGGATTTCCCGGCCACTCCCTTGATCCCTACACCTCCTTTCTCTTCAACAGTTCCAGAGGTTGATAAGAAAGCTCCAGAGCTCAGCTGATCCAGCCCTGCACAGGCAACTGCACAAATATCTGTACTACAGCATGCAAAGACAGCTGAGTGTCCAGTTCTTCAGAGCAAAGACGGCCTAGTCTAGTCTCTCAATACCTCTAAGATAGGTTAAAGAGATCGTAGGAGTCTCCCGGAAGGAAGAGGCTGGAAACGCCCCCACGTGGGTCGGCACCTCCATGCTCCCATTCTCAGAACCTGCGGACCCGATGTGTTCCTCCCCCGGCTCTCCAAAGCCACCACCCACCTCTTCACGCCCTTGGGGGCGACCGCCCTTCCCCCGCCCCGCAGTCGCCAGCCAGCCCTGACCTCCTCGAACTGCTCGCCGGAGCAGCCAGCGCCGCGAGCCTCCAGCAGCTCCCGGAACTGCTCCAGGGTGACGGATTCTTCGCCGCGGCCCAGCCGCTCTTCCAGCCAGCGCAAGAGCGCTCCGTGGTGCCTGGACACCAGAGACTCGCAGGGCGGCGCGGGCCGCAACGCAGCCGCTGCCTCTCGCAGCCGGGCCGGCTCCAGAAGCGCCGCGGCGGGCGGCAGCGCCGCGGCCGCCTGGCCCGGGCCGGGGGTCGTTCCCGAGTCCGCAGTCCAGTCCTGGTGCGGGCCCCAGCACTCGCCACCAGCGGCTGCCGCTTCGTCTTCACTGCTGTGACTCGGAGCGTTCCCCATGGGTTCTCCGTCCTGGGCGCCCGGCTCTGCCCCCGCCGCCGCCGCCTCCCCGCCACGACCTGTCAACCTCCGACGGTACCCGGCGGGCGGGGACGGGGAGAGGACGACGGCGGCGGTGGCTGAAGCTTCCGGCTTCCTCGCCGTCAAGCGAGGACTGCTGTCGCAAAGGGCGTCGTGGAGCGGACTCTACCAGCTGTCGTGAGACAGGTAGTCGAGGACAGCCTCAGCCAAAGGCGAGACCTGAGTTCCAAGAGGGCGAGTCTTTCCTAATGTCTGCATCATCCCGTAACTTTTTTTGCCACCATCTTTTTTGGGGCGAGCAACCTGCAAGTCAAGAAAGTCAGAAAGTCTCTTGCTGTTCTCTTTGTCGGTATCCTTCCACGTTCACTAGCTATGGTGGAAAAAGTACGGAAAGAGTCGGAGCGAGGGAGGGAACTTTCCAACGAAGACTTCTTTTCTTTCAGCCCTTCGTTGTCTTCTCAGTGCCGGGCGGACGAGGAAGAGAGAACGTCGCGCCAGTGACGTAGCGGCCTGTATCTCCGCCATTTTAGCTGTGGAAGGAGAGGCGGCAACTTCGGAAAAGCGGAGGGGTTGCGACCGTGTAATGCTGAGGCTGGGAGGGCGTGGGCTCTGGCTGGGCCTGATCGCGGCGGCGGCGGCGGCGGCGGCGGCGGCGGCGGCGGCGGCGACGGCGATGGCGATGGCTGCACAGCTGTTGGGCTGGTGGCAACCTCGCGCTGGCTTTCGCCTTTTCATACCCGAGGAGCTGGCCCGCTACCGCGGCGGCCCTGGGGATCCGGGCCTCTACCTGGTTTTGCTGGGCCGCGTCTACGATGTGCCCTATGGCCGGAAGCACTACGAGCCTGGGTCCCACTATAGCGGCTTCGCAGGTATTCCAGGCAACTCACGCCTTTTCCCACTCTGACGCGGGCCTGTAGCCGCTGGAGAGTAGTTCGTTCTTTCATCTATTCATCTGCTTTTTTTCTCCGTGCATTTATGAGTCAGACCAGCGTGGGGGCCGGGCCCTGCTGCATGGTGCTTCTGATGTGTTTGATGCGGTCGGGACCCTGACCAACTGTTACCGGCCTCTACGGTCCCTACCGTTTCCCACTGCTCTTAACTTAGGCCTCCTGTCTCTTGTTAGTTACCCGTTACCCACTGGCAGAAACCCCTGGAGACCTGCTTTGTGCCACACTGAGTGGCTGTTAGGGCACAGAGATGAATGAGACCCTGTCCCTGATCAGAAACAGAAGCACTGTCAGAGAATGAATTTAGTTCAGTTGGTGTTGGTGTTGCCAAGCTCCAACAGTCCAGCAGTGGAAGGGGCTTATCCAGGGCTACACTGTTGAGTTTGAGCTGAGACTGGAATCAAGGATTTTATTTACCTGTCAGTTGAGGGCATTTTTGATGCAATATTCTGCCACACTCTGATGCAGCTGTCATGGCACAAATGTGAGCATAAAACCCTCCATTTCTGGGGTGATTTTCTTTTGCAGCATGCTCTACTCTCTGCTGAGTGCCTTTGTGCCCAGGATTCATTCAGTATCTATATTGACCACTACCATGTGGCCTGCCTTGTACCAGGTGCTGAGGAATCCGGAGATTATAACATGCTTCCCACCTCACAGTCTAGAAGGGAAACAGATAATTTTCATTTACTTGTTAGTCAATATTTTTATTATTTTAAGATATAATTCACTTAAAATCCACCCTTATAAAGTGTACAATTCAGTGTTTTTTGATATAGTCAGTTGTGCAAATATCACCACTAATTCCCAAACATTTTTATCATCCCAAAAAAGAAACCCCATGTCCATTAGCGGTCACTCCCCATTCCCTCCTCCTTTCCAACCCCTATCTGTCTTTCTGTCTCAAAAGATTTGCCTATTCTGGGCATTTCATCCAAATGTAATCATGCATGTGGCTTTTTGTGCCTGGATTCTTTCACTTAGCATAACGTTTTCAAGGTTCTTCCATGGTGTATCAGCATGTTTCAGTAGTCCATTCCTTTTTATGTCCAACTAATAGCTCCACTGTAAAGATCCACCACATGCACATTTTGATCATTTATCGTTTGTTAGACATTTGGGTTTACACTTGTTGCCTATTATGAATAATGACACTGTGAACATAGGTATGCGGCTCTTTGGGTACACAAGCATTTTCAGTTCTCTTGGGTATATACTTTAGGAATGAAATTGCTGGGTTATATGGTAAGTCTGTGTTTAGTTTTTTGAGAAACTGCCAGATTGTTTCCTAAAGTGGTGCCCCACTGTACATTCCCATCATCAATATAGTAGAGTTCCAGTTTCTCCACATCCTCACCAAATTTGTTATGGTCTCTCTTTTCTTCTTTTTTTTCACAGCCATTTTAGTGGTTTTGATTATTTGTATTTCCCCATAACTAACGATGTTGAGCACCTTTTCATGTGCTTGTTGACCATTTGTACATCTTCCTTTAAGAAATGTCTAGTCAGATCATTTGTCCATTTTTAGATTAGGTTGTTTGTCTTTATAGTTGAGTTGTGACAGCTTCTTCTAGATACTGGACTCATACTAGATATATGATTTGCAAATATTTTCTCTTGTAAGTTGGCTTTTCACTTTCTTGATGGTGTCCTGCAATGCACAAAATTTTTACGTTTTGATAAGTCCAGTTTATTTTTTCCTTGGTTGCTTGTGCTTTTGTCTTAGTCTAAGAAGCCATTGTGTAATCCAACGTCACAAAGATTTATACTGATGTTTTCTTCAAGAGTTTATAGTTTTGGCTCATTACTCAGGCCATTGATCTATTTTGAGTTAATTTTATGTATGGTATGAGATGGGGGTCCCATTTCATTCTTCTGCACGGGGCTATTCAGTTATCTAAGCACCATTTGTTGAAAAGACTATTCTTTTCCTCATTGAATTGTCTTGGCACCCCTATCGAAAATCAAGTGGCTGTAAATGTGTGGGTTTCATTTCATTCAGTTTTTACTGAGAATATACTAAAGATCAGGCACTACCAGACACTGGGAAATCAATCCTAAAGGAGTTTGGTGTGCTCTTTTCCCCTCTCTACAGACTCATAGAAAAGACAGACATTAAGTAGTTGTCACATAAACAGGGAATTATTTTTGTGACAAGTGTTAAAAGGACAACATTTGGTGTTACCAAATGCCCTAACCTAGTGGGGGAGGAGGAAGGAGAGGATGGGAGCCCAGTAGCAAGGCAAGGTTGATGGTGGCTGGTACAGCTCCCTGAATGGCCTTTTAAGGGATTTGGAGGTTATCATAGAGCAAAAGGAAGCCACTAAGGATTTTTAACCAATAGAATGACATCAGTTTGTATTTAAATGATCAGTTGAAGTGTTGTATAGAAAACAGGTTAGTGGGGAAAGAGTGTATGTAGGGATACCTACTGGGGGTTTACCGTATGATGGCAACCTAGGCTTGCTTTAGTGGTCGATGGAGAAATGTAGACTGATACAGAAAGTATTTATTAGGAAGAAACTTTAGGACTTTAGGGACTGATTGGATGCAAGGGATGAAAGGAGGTGTCAAGGACTGCCTTTCGGGATTGAGCGACTGGTTGATATTTACCGAAATAGGGAATACTAGGAGAGATGCAGGTGTTCTGGGGCCAGGAGGCTGCTTACCATTTGTTCAGTGTGGACTGTGAGAAGTATACTCACTGGTCCAGACTCAGTAAGTGGACATGGAGACAAGGAGAACAGCGGAGCGAGGCTTTAATGGTGATCTTGCAACATCAGGTGCTTGGTTAGGAGGCACACCGAGGCAGTTGGGACAAGTAATTTATTCCCTAGCAGGCGAGTCCCTCCTCTGGTTCCTCATTGGCTGAGTAGTACAGGGTTTACATTCTTTCCCGGATGTCATCTAAGCAAGTTATATGGCTTTCCCTTACATTTGTCTTAATTTTACTGGCTGGTTTAAAATTTCTTTCTTTTCCAAAATAGGCTCAGCTTTGTTCCTTATCAGTTTCCACTCTCCCACCCCCAACCCCCATCCCCACCGCAGCCTGAGCAACTTCCTGGCATGCGTTTCAACAAGTGGCTCTTTGTCAGTACCTTAATATTAAAATGTTTAAACCTCCTGGTGGGAATAAATCACATTTAGGTTTTATGCTTTTTCTAACTTGGACTTTATGAAATTGTGACGTCTTTAATTACAACTAAGTGATGCTGAGCAGAGAATTGGATATAGAGGTGTGGGGCTAAAGAGAAGTCTGAGCTAAAGGTACAAATTTAGCCATCTTTGGCATAGAGGTGGTATTTGAAACCACAGAGGTGGATGAAATTGTCACGTGGAGGGTGTGGATAGTACAGAGGAGGAAGTGGACAAAGAGCTGATCCCTGAGGTTTGTAGAAGTGAACTAGAGAGAGGAGATAAACCAGGAGGGTAGTGTCACAGAAGCAAAGGGAAGTGATTAGCTGTTAAATGTTGCTGAAAGTAAGTGAAAGAATGTTGTAAATGCCAAAATGTGTGTCCAACATCCAGGAGCATCTGTTACAGAGGATGGGGGATTTGTTTTGCTTGGGATTGGGAAGTAGGGCATTTTCCAGACTCTTGAAGTGGTAGACTGCCAGTGATTCATAAGTGAACCTACTGGAGCCATCTCTCCTGCAGGCTGAGTCGCCTCCAGAGCGTTTGTGACTGGGGACTACTCTGAAGCAGGCCTTGTGGATGATGTATGTGACCTGTCATTTTCTGAGATGCTGACACTTCAAAATTGGCTTTCATTCTATGAGAAGAATTATGAATTTGTTGGTAGGTATTCCACAGGTCACTTCCATTGATTTCATTTAGTTGTAATTTTTTTTAAAGAGCTCGAATTCTTTGGAGATTGAATGAATCCATGGATATTTGGGGAGCAAATGAGTGAGCTAGTCTTGTTTGAACAGTGTGTGTGCGTGCGTGCGTGCACGCATGAGGGGATGTGGAAGTTCTTCAGAAGGATTTTAGTTAAAGTCAGGATATATTTGAGTAGATCTGCTATGGATAAGCTGTAGTTCTGGTCCTCATGGGGACTAGACAGGACAACTTGGGTGCAGTTCCTGCTGTCAGTTCATTGTATGCGAGGGGGTTGTGTTAGGTTCTTTCAGGACGTGTCAGAGGATGAAGGCATATTATATGGATACACACTCAAGTGAGGGAAATCAGAAAGCCATCCTGGTCGCCACATGGCCAGGCCTCATGGGAAAATAAGATGTCTTCTGTTGTGTTCTAGACATAGCATAGGCTCAGGGACCCAGCAGTGGTGATGACTACACAGCTTCTGCAAGTCTTTTTCTCCTTTACTGCTGTTGCCCTCTCTTTGGGTCTCAGGTCTAAAGCCACCTGAACAGGCTGGTCAGCATGCAACAGAGACCCTCTACAGGAGCAAGTTTTGTGTCAGACCAACCCATAGACCGCAGGCCTGATCCCCGCCTTCTTTGTTCTAACAAGCATTCAAAAGGAATGTGCTGTACTAAGTTCTTTTAAGTGCCATGCCTTTCTGGTGGGGAGAGACATAACATAAACAAGCAGACTGATCAGACAATTCCAGAGAGGGCTGTGAACCAAACAAAACAAATGTGATACGTGTTTGGGGGGAGCTGTGGCACCCTCAGAGCAGATGGTCGGGGAGGCCTTAGAGATGATAGATTAGTGGAGACCTGAAAGGTGAGAAGGAGCCAGCCATACTGGGATCTGGGAAAGGAGTATTTAGGTGGAGGGAGCAGTGGTGCCCAAGGCGGGAGCAGCTGAGCATGGTCAGAGACGGAAAGGAAAGCCAGTGTGCTGGAGCACGCAGTAGAAGGAAGGGAGTGATGAGAGAAGAGGCCGAGGCAGCAAACAAGTCAGTGGTTATCGAGTCTTGGAGGCCGAGGTAAGAAGTTTGTATTTTATCCACATGCTTTAGGAAGCCATTGAAGGGTTTAAACCAGGCACGGAGGTGACGTGATATGATTCATGCTTTTAAAAGATCACTCCAGCCGCTTTGTGGAGAAAGAACTGTGGGAAGGCATGACCCGAAGTAGACCAGCTGGGAGCCGGTTGTTGGATGTGTGGTTTGGATTAGGTGGTAGCAGTGGACATGGCGAGGATGGACAGAGTTGGGGTGTTCATGAAATACTGGACCGACAGGATTTGCTAACGGATGAGGTGTGAACAAAGGGAAGTGTACATTTGGCTATGAAAGAGGGGTCAGGGAGATCGAAGTCTCCTAATCCAGATAACAAAGGCCAAAGTGGTATAAACGGAGTTGGGAAAGTCAGGACAGGGAGCTGGACCTGAGAGGATGCACTGACTCTGGGCCACACGGAATGTAAGTGCCACTGGCATCTAAGCTACTCTGCCCTCCGCAACGGAAGGGGCTGGGTAGGCGTGAAGGCAGGGCTACACGGCTGCCCCTTCGGCTTGCCACACCTCTCTTATGCCTCTCCTGCCCTTTTACAGCTACTACCTGTGAGGGCCGCTCGCACTTCAGAACTCAGAGATGAAAGTCCCTGCACCTTGGAGAACTGACCACTTGCTGGCTGCTGCCATCGCTTAGAGTCTTAAACATTGTGACAGGTATTTTCAGGTGAAGCCAATTTCCTCTCAGTATGTCCATGGAAGGACTGAGCCAGGAAATAATGATGGGGGGAGGGCAGAGCCTGCACTTGGGCCAGAGCCACTCACCAGATGCACAGACATGCCTGTCCTTCGGTGTCCCCGTCTGTGCTGTGAACATGGAGACACTGATTCCTCTCTCATGGGGCTGTTACGGGGGTAACAAAATACTGCTAAAGGCTCACATAGCACCTGACACTGAGTAAATGCTCAGCAAATGACTTATTTATACGGTTGACCATTGAACAACACGGGTTTGAACTGTGCGGGTCCACTTATATGTGGATTTTTTAAATAAATACGATGGAAAATTTTCCGAAGATTTGCAGGATTTGAAAAATTTTCTCCAGCTTACTTTATCGTAAGAATATAGTAGAGAACACAATGGAATATTATTCAGCCATAAAAAGAAGAAATACTGCCATTTGCAACAACACAGATGGATCTGGAGGGTATTATGCTCAGTGAAATAAGCCAGGCAGAGAAAGACAAACACCGTATGATTTCACTTATTTGTGGAATATAAAAGCAAAAACAAAACAAAAGGAACAAAACAGCACTAGACCCACAGACATTGAGAAGTGACTAGTTACCATGGGGGCGGGGAGTCAGCCAGGTAGGGTTGGGGGGGACTGTTGAACCACTGTGATGTACATTTGATAATAAAAAATATATACATTTTATATGTATGTATATAATGTATATATATTTTTCAAAATATTTTGCACAGTAATAAACACTGAATAAGTAAAAAAAGAATATGGTATAGAATACATGTAACATACAAACATAACATACCTGTTAATCAGAGGTTTATCTTATCAATAAAGCTGGTCAAGAGTAGGCTGTTAGTAATTAAGTTTTGGGGAATCAAAAGTTTTAAGCGAATTTTTAACTGGGGAGGGGTGTGGCACTTATAATCCCTGTGTTGTTCAAGGGTCAGCTATAGTTTTGTAAGAAAATAATTCAATTTTGGGAAGAATGAGCCACAAAAATGTTACCTAATAAGCCGTTCATTTGTCAAACATTTATTGAACACCTCGTGTACCTTAAGCACTGGTATATTGAAAAATGAATCACACGTGGTTCCACTTTTGGGGAATCTGATGCCTGGAAGTGAGAAAGATTTTACAACTTCCGTCCTGGGGCACTCTACAATTAGAACAGGGGTGCTTCTATCTGGAGTCTTGTAAGATGCTGAGAGATGTTGGGGTGGAAGTCACCACAGGTCCCTCCAATATGGGTTCTTAATAAATAAGCACCCAGCAGGCTACTGTCAAGCCCTGAAATCAGAAACCCGGGAACTTGAGCATTACTACAACCACTTCAGAAGCCTAAGCATCTGTGCACACCCCATCCCAGTGTTACTCTGATGGTAGCTTTTCTGCTGCTGCAGGAAGGGTGATAAGAAGGTTCTACAGAGAGGATGGGCTGCCTACTCCAGAACTGATGCAGGTAGAAGCTGTGATTGCCAAAGGCTTGGAGGCAAGTAAACAGGATCTGAAAGAGAAGCAGAAGTTTCCACCATGCAATGCTGAGTGGAGCTCAACCAAGGGCAGCCGGTTCTGGTGTTCCCAAAAGAGGTAAACAGCCTTCTCTTCTGCTCCTCCCCACCTCTCCTAAATCCAACTTTTGGGTCATCCTGACTGTTACTCAGTGAAGACATAAAGTGATTAACCCCAGGGAACTATTTCAAAGTACATGTGCCCTGGCACAGTGATTCTCAACTTTGGCTACATGTAAATCTTCTGGGGAACTTTTTAAATTACCAATGGGGGATGCTACTGCAAACAACTGGATGAGGATACTAGGGTGGAGACCTGGGCATCTTTTTCCTTTTTAATCCCCTGAAGAGCCCCTGGCCTTGGAATGGAAGGCCCAAGTACTATTTCTTGCTTGCTTTGGCCCATTCATCCACCCAGGGGCCTCAGTTTCCTGTCTGGCAGCACCGCTCATCCCTGCCTGCAGGAGGTAAGGATGCCAGAGCAGGGACAGCCACTTGTGGTGATGCCAACATTCTGGCTTAAAAGCAGCACAAATTTTGAGCAGTTCCAGGAAGTACAGACTAGACAGGGAAGTCCTTTCCTGTAGGAATAAAGCAAGGTGAGCTGGATTAGGATAGATACCACAGGGATGATTCCAGGTTCATTTGGGGAAGTTGGAGAAAAAACTTTTTTCCTACTTCAGTCATCAGGCCAACTTGGAATTAAATGCAATTTGAGTCCCTCTGATTTCATTTAACTCTGGGAGGGGAAAAAGGAACCCCACCCCCACCCCTGCCCCAAGGCTCAAAGGCCTCAAAGAGCCGGCTCTCAGTAGGAGGGGCAGGGAAACCCTTCGCGCTTTCTTGACTGAGTTGCTCAGGCTCTGCCTTCCCTGCAGAGCTCTTCCAGACCCACCCAGTGAGTGTGGCCCTGTCCCTGTGCCTCAGCCCACTTACGTGGATGGACTCGCTTTAGACTGAGAAACGAGTCCTGAAGGCAGGGCCTGGGTGTGGAGTGAGGATCCCTGATGATGGGATGCACGGCTGGAAGGAATGGAGGCGTCCCAGCGCCCTGAGAGCCTTGCTCTTGGGGATGCTTCAAGGGGGACGGTTTCTGACTGGGTGGCAGTTTCTCTGACAGCACTGATCCTGGTCCCAGGCACTGGAACTATGTGGGGCATCAATTTCGAGAATCTCTTTTTCCTCTTACAAAGTTTTGGGTCCCTGGGAGACCAAATTCAGGACCCTAAGATGAGGTAGGCTCTGCCCAGGATAGGAGGTTGTTCAGGTTGTGTTGGGCCAGAGCTTGATCCTCCGTCTGTGAAGCGTGGTGACACCAGGAACAGGGCCTGTGCCAGGGGCTGGACAGCGTGCACCTGCTCCCTCGGCCTCGGGCCTCCCAGAGAAGGCTGGCCCATCAGAACTTGGATTGTTGCCTCAGTTGCCCACCCTCACCCAAGTGCCCCAGACCCTAAGATCAAGACATAGCCCTGCACTGGGATGTGGTGGGCAAGGGAGAGAGATTCCATGCCAGACACTGCTTTTGAAAAGCTCACAGACCACTGGGGGCAGGCCTTTCGCAGGGGCTAGCACCGGTGCAGGGAAGTGGCCTGACCCCCCAGCTTCCTGCGCAGGGCAGGGGCACAGTGAAAGCTCGGCGGACTCTGCCCTCAGCTGAGGATGCTGGAGGAAGTTCAGAGAGAGCATGAGGGTTCAGGGGCTGAGGACTGCACAGCACAGCCTTGGGAGACCACCAAGGTGGGAGTCTCCCATCTTGTAGAATGGCTTTTACTTTTCACAAGGTCTGGCTCATTGCTCCCTCCTCCCCTTCTCAGATTTGTTAGGTCATGTTTTTAAGGAGTCCTCTTACCTTTTGTCCTTAGTGGAGGAGTAAGCAGAGACTGGATCGGCGTCCCCAGAAAGCTGTATAAACCTGGTGCCAAGGAGCCCCCACTGCGTGTGTGTGAGAACAGCTGGTTCCCCTAGTGACCAGATGCTGGACAACCCTACACACAGAAATCGTGGGGACTTGGACCGCCCCAACTTGGAGTTTGTAGGCTGCCCACGCCTAGCCACCACATGCTCCTTCCCACTCTCAGCTGGTGCCCTTTATGCTGATGACCTACAGAGAACCCTGCCTAGAACCTGATGCCTCTGAACAAAGCAGTGACTTAAAGTAAGGATATTGTTCCTCTTTTAAATGCTTAGAATTAAGTGTGGTGCGTTTTCAAAGGCAGAAGTCTGCATTTTGAAAAGAAGGTGGTTTCACAGTTCTAATGAGTAGCTGGTTAGCACATCAACAAAGTTTGGACAAGCCTGTAAATGCCAAACAAAGAGCCTCACCTCTGGTGGTCCAGCTTGCAGTGCCTCCAGTGGGTTGTGTGTCCAAGATCATCTGTGACCCACACTTGGCCAATTTCCCACCCATGGCCTCTTGCATTCTTAGCTTGTTAAGCAGATGGGGGCAGGGAATGTTCCTACTTTCCAGATAAGGAAGTGAAGCCTGGTGCTAAGGCTCGTGGTCTCTCATCTGAGCCTTTGCCTCGCCTCCTTTCCCCAGTGGCCTCAATTCTTATTCTAAACATTCTCTTTTTCTCCTGTGCCATTAATCTCACGAAATAGCTTTGCAGATTCACTGACTAGAAGAGGCCGCCCTCTTGGCTCACTGCCCTTGTGGTCGCAGCTCTGCCTCACAAGTGGACTCTGCTCTGGGCTCCTTTTGCCACACCAGGGGCTTTCTTACCTGCCCCTCCTGTCCCGTTAGCCTCTCCCCACCTCCTGGCTTCTCCCTCTCAGTGCGCATTCAACAGCTCACGGACCTCCCATCATAAATGAAACACTCCCTAACGCCATATTCTCTCACCCCAGACCTGCTTCTCATGACAGTTAAGCTTTTTGGAAAAGCTACCTGTCCTCACCATCTTTGCTCCTCAGCTTCCATTTGCTGTGTGACAGTTGCCCTTCTCTGCCCAAAGGCAGGATAAATTCTGTAACGGCAAACGCCATGGCCACATTCCATTCTTAACTTTCCTGCACCCATCACATTTGAGGGCCTCCGTGAAGCCTCCCTTGGCTTTTCCCTGATTTCCCTGCCTCCGCTTCTCCATGAGTCCTTCCCACCAGCTCTTCTCACTCTTACTTCAGCTGCCAGTTCTCCTGCCAGCTCCGTATCCAGGCCAGGCTTTCCTGAGCATTTCTGTAGCACCTCAGACTCCACTTTGCCGCCATTCAGTGATTTCCCTCGTGATCCTTCCCGTTCCATCACCATCTGCACCCAGTTATGCCAAGTACGAATCCTGGCAGTCACCCACAGCACCTTTCCCTCCTCCCTGCCCATCTCTGAGGGCAGTTCTTCCTCCTTGCTTCGCTGCCTCCCTATCCCGTCTCTTCTCCCAGCTCCCCTCCTCTGGCTGAGGCTGTCCTCCTCTGATGACTACAGGAGCCTGAGTTGCCCTCCCTGCAGCCCTTCCTCCACACCACTGTGGTTTTCCTGATAGGAGGGCCTTCCCCCGTTATACCACCTCAGTGACTCTGTAAGTGCTGAACTTCTCAGCAGCATAGCACTCAAGGACCACAAGGCCCGTCAGTGGCCCGTCTCCTCTCAGCCTGTCCACTGCCACCTTCCTCGCGCACTGCTCCCTGCAGCCTCCAGTGCACTGCACTCTGCCCACAGTGCCTCCCCTGAGGCTGCCCTGTCCACTGAATGACACCTCTCCTTCTGTTCAATTCGTCCACCTCTGATCTCTTCAAAACCTGGCTCAACCAGCCCCTCTTGCCAGTCTCCATTAACGTGATACATGTTCCCCGAGGTTCCTGTGTGTGCATTTCTGCTGTGACACAAATGCCAGTGTCCTGTACCCACAGATTTTCTATCAGCCTCTTGCACTGAACTGTGGACTTTGACAGGGACCAGCTTGGCTGTGTACCCCACACGCATAGTACCCAGCATTGCTAAGTATGCAGTTAGTTCTCCTATTTTGGACACAAAGCAGCCAAGGCCCAAAGAACTTTAGGCCCCAGAGCAATGTAGCTGAGTCTAGAACTCAAGGTTCCCTTCCCGATTTGGTGGTATTTGCACTCCTCCATAGTTCAGGGTGTCTCTGCCCTTGCCGGGGCAGGAGCAAACAGGAGGAGAGCTGAGACCGGGGCCTTGTCCCGAATGCCACAGCCTTCTTGGTGCCTGGAGTGCCCCTGGCAACTGGATGCAGCCCTCAACTCCAGGCTTGATTCTCCTTAGTCACCCAGCAAGGACTTAGCAAGCACCTTTGTGCCATGGGGCTAGGGATGGGAGGGGGTGAGGCTCCTGACCGCAAGGAGCTGACAGAATAGAGAGTAACCCCCTGGTTAAAGTGCCCAGAGGCAACTCCTGGGGAAGGACTGCAGGGACAGTGTGGAGCCAGGCCCAGAGATAGACCCTTCCAAAACCAGCTGGAGAGAAGGCACGCTCAGTCTTCGCTGCCAAGGATGGCCTGGGGGGCACTCAGAGGTGCCTAACCTCTGACCCAGGCAAGACCGCTGAGCCTAGACTGCAGCATGCTCGGCCAGCCTCAGTAGGCTGCCCACCACTACCTTGCTCAGTGACTGCCTTTTGGACGCCAACCACCTACTTTACAGTAAAGAGCCTCCTCACATCAGGGCACTGGGTGAATCTTCAGGGGATTCCACAGGAGTCAATTGTCATTTTAATGGTCCAAAGGGCTCAGCCATGAAAAGCTAGTGGTTACTGGAGAAATACCTCTCTTTCCTCTCCAGTAGAGGTGGCCATGGGCAAAATGATGCCCAGGAGGTAAGCAGGCAGGCCCAGTCCCTCCCTGATGGGAGCCACGGAAAGTCTACTCAGGCAGTTAAGACTTGCTGGTAGCGGGCAATGGAGAAAATTAATACATGTTGGGCAGCTATGTAGTCAGACCCTGTACTGCTGAATAGGGAGCTTTCTATCTGTTCTCTTTCATGGTCCAGAAGAGAGGCATGAATATCTGCCTACACACGTCTAGTGGCCAAAGGGGCCATTGCATGGCAGACTGAGCTGCTCACTTACAACAGGCTAAGGGCAACTGTATCTGGCCTTTTAATCCTGCCATTCCAGTTTTCTATAAATAGAAAATTTCTAGAACTAAGAGTAAAGAGCCGGAGATTTGGGGTCACAGCTCAGCTACTGCACTGACTGTACAGCAGAGGGAGCTCTGTCAAACTGTCACCCCATCCCTTGTTTGCTTAACTCCAATCTGATCTGAAAGACAAGACCCCGTGGACAGGTTGGGGCTATGGCTCTTCAGAAATAGCCCCTCAGAGAAGAGGATGGTCCTGGGAAGAACCCCCACCTTCCAGAGCACTTCCTACTGCCAGAGCCCCCAGATTTCTGCAAGTAGGCAGCAGACATTGCTCCTGCCAGCCCTCACGGAGGGGGCTCGGCATGCACGCCAGGATCTGCACTTGCACCAGAAGACACCTTACTCATCACCTTCCTCAAGGCAACCCTGGGAGCGAGGGAGGCCCACAGCTACTTCCAGTTTACATGTAGAGAAGCCAAGGCTCGGGTTCTCTGAAAACCCCAATATCATCAGCTCATCAGTGACAAAGCAGAACCAAAACCCAGTGCTCTTCTCTGGCTGGGCAAGAATGTGTGGACTTGTGTGTGCACCTGGTTCCTGTTTACACATGTATTGTGACATAATATGGCCAGTATTCACCCTAAGGACAGCTATTAGGATTACTCGGGATTGTTATGTGGAAGCACTAGACAGTGCCTATTATATGAGAGATGCCACCAGAGAATGAGATCTATCACCACAGCCAGTCTGAACTATGGGTAATGAAGGTGGAAAACAAGAGGAACGTGTTAGCTCAATGTAGTGTGAGGGCCCAGTGAGTTGCTGGGTTGGTGTGGTTTGTACAGGGCCCTTATGGAGCACTAGACTGTCATTCACAGGTCCCTAAACCTCCCTTAGCATGACACCCACAGCACCAGTCCTCCCTTCAGACGGCAGTCAGCAGAAATCTCACTGGGGGGGACCCTCTGGAGCTGCTCCTAAGTAAGAGTCTTAGGGAATTTCCAGGGTCCTTTGGAGAGCTCTTCAGTGGGGCGCCATGAGCTCAAGTCTGGGCCAAGAGCACAGTAAATCCAGGCAGCTGCCATTTTGCCTAAAATAGCTACTTTCTGACTGCTGTCAACAAAGTGTTCCTGAAGTGTTGGGAACTCAAACTTTTGTAGAGCATAGCTGTTGAAGAAATCTATTCACATGTCAGCAGTTTTAAAAACTGTTTGCACAAACAAAATAAAAATGGATTGACAAAACACAGGGAATAGAATGGTGGTTGCCATAGGGAGGAGAGTTGGAGGGTGGTGAAATTGGGGAAGGGGAAGAAATTTAGTATATTAGATTTAGATACCTTGATCTGGGTCATGACTGCATGAGAGTATACACATGTCAAAATTCATCAAGCAGTACACAGATCTGAGCATTTTATTATACCTCAAAAAAATTGTTTTTAATACTTATTGGTACTTCTGCATTAAAAGTAACTATAAAAGTCTTATTAAAGTTTCCATTTTAAATGCACAATTTTACATTTTATTATAAGGAATTGTTACAGAAAATGAAAATGCCAATATTTGAAAACTACTTTCCATTACACAGACTCCAAAGAAACAATGCTGCTACGTAAGCACGCGTCATGGTCCTATTTGATGCCGTCATCCCACAGTGAGCACCAGCTGCACAGCCTGGAAGCCAAGGTGATCAACCCAAATGTGTGCCTGCAGTTTCTGCCCAGCTACTGCCCTCCCCCTTGGTTCACAGGCATCTCCACATACACCTATCTCCACATACCTGCCAAGGACAGGTCTTTAACTCGACTCCCTAGCTACAGAAAGCCAGTGTTGTCAGTTGTAACCCACTGATACATTATTTATGCCACACAAAAAAAGGAACTGTACAGGCAATGATCTTCCAAAGAAAGTCTTTAAGGCATCTATGATAACTTCTGGGAATTCAGTAAGTGTTTAGTTTGTATATTGTCAAACAATCAGCTGCTCACTAAATTACTTCCACAGAATGAGAATGTGGTTTCAAACCCCTACAGAAAGCTCCTCTGCTTTCTCCTCTCCCCAGGTGGGTGTGGGGAGCTTTGACGCTTCACATTAGGGGTGGCTGTGCTTGCCAGTCCCATGCCTCGTTCTTCTGTGGCTTGTCCAGAGGGAAGCAATCCCAGGTCCAGGAAGCAAGCTTTTTTCAGGTGCAACTTCACAGTCTCAACCTGCCAAGCTCCAAGCGGGTCTGTCGTGGGAGCGGTACATTTACTTACCCACGCTCGTGTCACCTGGGGAGTAGTTTGCCTTTCAGGTCGAAGCACTTACACAGTTCAGCAGTGTTCTTTTTCTCCAGATAAAAGAAGCCTAGGTGGAGATCAAGGCTCTCCTGCCTCCCAAGACTTTCCCTTCACTTCGTGCCTACAAAGAAGATTAGCACAATACTGTTCAAGACACCAGGGGGGACATGAACTAGGAGTGGTAGTGGGCCCACCGCATGTTGACCCCCATGCAGGGACCCACTCAGGGAGAAGAGTGAGGAAGCTGAACAGGGTGGTCAGAAGTGACTCAGGGCTCTGAGGTAGAGGACTAACAGTCACACAGACCCCACTCCTGGAGAGAATACGGCAGGCGAACTGAGCCGTCGGATCCAGCCTCAACTAAACTGGTAACTGGGGGTTGACTGCACAGGCAATAAGCTCCAAGTGGAACATACATCTTCTAATGCATCATTCAGTGAGACATCACTAAAATGAAAACTGAAAATCAAAACTCCTAAGTGTAGGCACTTAAGTTTGTGGGAAATTCCTGTGTTAGAGATAATAGTAAGTTCGTTTTAGCCATTTGATTTATATATAACACATGGTTTGTACCTTTGTCTTAAAAAAAAAAGACTTAGGAATACACTGTATAATAAATCCGATGAGAAGCAAGAGGCAGTTTAAAAGCTAATCAGCATAACAATGACTGATACAGCAAATTATATTTTGTAAGTTTATTCTTCCTGTCCTATTCATTCACAGTTGGCAACTTTCTAAATGAGTAAAATTTCAGTTTTTGCTATTAGTATTTAAGCTATGGATTAAAATTTAACAAGAACAGCTAGACAGTTCTGTAGTCAAGTCTCGACAGCCTGGGGAGTAAGAGCATGTAAAATCCCAGCCAGGGCAGTAGAGGGAGTCTCAGCAGGGAGCCTCCGTTCAGGGAGTCTGCTGGGTGCAGCCCAGCGCACGCAGCATGCTAAGGGGCCTAAGACTGTGGACGGTGTTTTTTCTAGATCTACAAGAGGGCACTCTGAAGCCAATGTAGAAATGTTGCCCCAATCCATGGTTGCTCAGTACCATAACCATCCCTGGACTGTGCTGAGAAAAAGCTTAACATGTTTTAAGGGTCTTAAAACATGATTTTAAGAGTTTGAGTGCAATTAGAGGTAAGACTGTCACTGCAGTTGGAATGGACGGGCAGGGGCAGAACAATGAGCCAAACCTGACTGAACTCCTGCCCTCCTTTCTAAATCATGAAAGCAGAAAAACAGGTAGAAAGTACCGATCACCTTGATTCGCAATAATTACCTTAGTTTCCAGTTAAAGAATCAAGCCACCTAATAACTAAGCCCTACTTCCTCATGGCCCCGTTCAGGCCACCAAAACTGGAAACTGACCACGTGCCTCACATGGTTAAGTGTCCACCAAGACTAGTTGTTTTTCTATAAAAATTCTGTATGAAATGTGCCATAGTCTTTAGGGGATAGGGGAACTCTTCTAGTTAACTGTTTTAAACATTGTGCACAAGCTCATATTAACATAAAAAGCATATATATCTTATAAATCACAGAAATATTTTAAAAAACACTGATTTATAAGCTTATTTTACATACATATTAGACAACAGAATGTATAAATCTATAGCAACACTGAGGACATACGATATCCAAAGAAACAAAAAAACCAGCTGTTGCAAAAAAACATGTAGTCCCTTTTACACATATACCCACACTTCATTAATGCAAAAAAAAATGTAGTGGTTATTAAATGTCTAAAAAAAATCCATATGATTGAGATTATTAATGTCTGAGTATAACTACACACACATACTGTTCATCTCAAGAGTTCTGGGTTTTTTTTAAAGCAGTGGTAGAAGTTTTTCTTTAAATGTGCATTTTGTAAAAACTGGCCAAACCTTCGAAAGAAAAAAAGTTTAACACCTCAGGGTTAATATATGTACTAGCAGCGATGAGGCCCAATGAGCTCTGGGGCCTTGTGCAGCATACAAGCCAGAGCCTTCCGAAAACAGGCACATGCACTCGGCCAGGGCCTTCAGCTGTTGGCTCTTACGGGGCAGGCAGGTTACACAGAATTGGGACCTGGGACCAACAGTGTTCACTGTAACTGGGGAAGGTGTCCGTAAGAAGCATTCATGTCAAGCAGGGGACCTGCCAAACTGAAGCTGGAGACTCCCCTTCTCATTACTTGGCCTGTGTGACTCTCTTGGTCCACTCTGTGGGAGTTTTCCCTTTAAGACAGTGTGAGCTGAGGTCCAGTCAACTGATCATTCAAATCACTGATGCATGGGTGTGTGAGGGCATTTTCGAATACGGAACTTAAAACTGGAATCACCAATAATGCAGCTATAGAAAAAGTGCAGCACAAGGCAAGTGAACTCTCCCACCAGGCCCTGGGCAGCAGAGTGGCTGAGGACTCCACAGGCAGGACATGGCAAGATGAGAATATGACAGCTGCCAGATGTCAGGCTGCCAAATGGCACTCCTGACACCTGAGTAGCATGATTACTGGTAAAGCTTTCACTTGTTAAGGCCACGATTTTCAGCTCTCACCTTTGAACCCTGTTTAAAAAGATTTCATTCACCTTTTTCAAAGGGGTAGCTCACTAAAAATACAGCTTAGCTTTTCAAATAAAACAAAAAAACTTCAGGGCAAGAGGATCCTATAATCTTTATGAAAACACTGTGCAGAAAAGTCCACAGCCACTTTCCCTAGAGTAAAGCCAGCTCTCATGAAGTAGTCAGATGCCAACTTCCTACTGTCAGGATCTGCCTAATAAGTCCACCCAGTCAGAAACACTGCATGAATGCTGAGATGGACACTCAGCTACTAGAAGAGAAAATGGTTTCTGAAGTGTCCTTGTACATTGTTAGCAGATTGGGGTCTAATTCCTACCACATTAACCACTTAGGCTAAATAGCCGGGTCAAATGGTGAGACATCTAGTGAACCTGCTCACATTCTGACACACCAACAATCATACAGAAAATGTGAAATGGGATCTATCACACCATGGTGCTTAGCTGTTCCAGTCTGTTGCCACAGGAAGACGACTGCCAGCTCCCGCTCTGGGGGTGTCAGGCTGGTGAGCAGAGCAGCTGCTGGGGAGGTGACTGGGAACATGGCCTGGCCCCTCCTGGGGGCTAAGAGACCCCACCCAAAGTCAGGACATCAAAGCAAATGTTGCAAACTCGCACGGGCTTGTTCAGATCAAACTTTATAATGGGAATCTCCTTGGTCGAGCACTTATGGCAAAGAAGACGTCCGCAATGACGACTGTGGAAGCAAAGAAACAAGTGTGAGGGGCACAAAAGAGCAGGTTCCCAGCATGTGAACATGGCCACAGCAGCGCCCTTGGTGGACAACAAGCCTACAACCGACCACGTTCCACCAACATGTGTGTAATCTGTAATCCACACACACAGCAGTCACATCAGTAAGTTGATTAGAGTGACACTGGAGAAGGTTCTTTTAAGGCTCAAGAGCGGCTCAGCAATAGTCAAAAGAACTGTCTTTTTGTATGGGGAGCAGCTCCTGGCAGAGCAGCCTGTGGTTGGGTGAGCAAGCACACTTCCTGTGAGGGCAGCAGGACCGCTCAGCCTCACCACAAGCCGACCACCTGGGACCCATGAACCCTAGCATTCAGCAGGGAAGCCTCAGTCTGTGTGCCCCTGCCCTCCCCACATCATGACAGCTGCGAACAGTCCTGGCATCTCATCACCCTGTGGGCTCAGCTTTTGCCCAGGACAGTGCAGGGCCCTGGCAAGTTCATGGCTCTGCTTGGACAAGGCAGAAGCAATGACATCAACAGGAGTCCCCTTGCTCTCCAGGCCAGTGGTGTGGGAGCTCTTACCAGTGATGTTTGCGAGTTGTGACCCCGAACCTGGCAGTGCACTCGTAGCAGTTGGAGCCGTCACACCACGGGGGCTCCTTGGACAGCATGTCTGTAATACAGGCAGAAGACTAGTTCCCGTCAGTGTCTGTGCCAGGCAAGCCTTGGCGCTTCAAAGAACAGACCAGTAAATAAAGCAACACATTGCAGTAACACAAGGGATGAAGGAGCAATGTATTCTCAGTGGGTCGGGAGAGCGTCACAGAGGATATAGAGAACCTGCACTGGCAGGAGGGGAAGAAGGAAACGCTGTTCAAGGCTGTGAAACAGCACGTGTCAGGGTGGGGCAGGGGGCTCCACGCAGTGGAGGATGGCCGGAACATAAGACGCAGGGGGCAGAGAGCACAGGCCAGTAGCTAGAAAGACTGGCAGGGACCTAATGAGAAGGCGTACAGGGAGGAGGGGACCAAGACGAGAGAACTTGAGGGGGCAGAATCTGTATGATCTGGTGACTGAGTAGAAGCGGGGGTTGTGAGAGGGAGGCAGGAAACAGGTGTGATTCCCAGGTTTCTGGATTGAGTGACTGAGTCTGGTGGGAACACATGCAAAGAGGAAGCAGAAGAGAAAGAACCAGAGCAGATGAGGAACTCAGTGCTGAGTCTGCAAAGCTGTAGGAACGGAGTTGGGGAGTTGTCAGTGTAGATAACAGAACAATACTGAATGCTAACTACCTGCCAGGCCCTGTTCTGAGTGCTCCACACACCAGCAGGCTGGGCCCCAGGGAGGAAGCAGCACATGGACCAGTCACCACTGAGCCACAGGCCAGCATTGTCTGAGCTCTCAGAAGGCCAGCCACGTGCATGGCAAAGAGCAAACTAGGTTTCTATATGACACTGCTCCAGCGCCGGCTCTGCTACAAACCAGCTTTGTGACCCTGGGCATGTCACCTACATCATGGTCTCTGGCTACTAGTTATTTATGAGCATGTTTCCCACACAGCAGGGCTAATAACCCATTCTACCTCCACTGTGGGTAATGCACCCAAGGCATTCTGACACTGCCACCTCAGTGACGAATAAAGACTTGCAAATATGAGATGAAGCAGAAGGCCACTCTGAAGGATGCAGAGAATCTGAATCAGCTGAAGGATGGAGGGTGTACAAATAAGCGGCCAGGAACCATGGTAAGGATGACCAGCCCGGAACTCAAGGCTTTCAGGACCAGGGGAAGTGGGAAACCAACAGTGGCCCCAAAGCAGAGCACTCTGGGAAGAGACTACTAACAGTGACCCTCCCATCACTGCTAAAGGCCCTTCGTAGCATTTGTAGAGTAGGTCCTATGTGATATCTGGAAAACTACTAGTTCAGATTTTGGAGCAAATCATTATGAGATTTAAATCACCAATACATCCAGATAATCACCACTGTAACAGGGCTTACATTCAAAGAGCAAAAAGTAGGCCACTCACCTAACAGTCTAAACAGAAGTTGCTTGGTGGCAACCTGGTAGTTGAAAATGTTGACTCCTTGGTTATTATTCACCCCAAGGCGAGCCCCAGATCTGACGACAGCACGGCACAAGTTGGCATTCCCTTTCATGTATGCTAAGAGCAGCACTGCAAAACAAACCACAGGCAGGGCTACTTCCCACTGGGCCCAGGCTGGCCCTGCCAAAGAGGGCAGAACAGAACCCTGGCGGCCTCTGTTAGGAAAGTCCCCATGGACACATAGGGGCCCTGCAGCTCTGGTGAGATACCCCAGAGGATCAGCAGCAGCTTCCAGTCAAGGACCTGGAAC